AACCGTTGCATTTGTAGAAACTCTTCTGAGTAAGCAAATATATACATACCATCTAATTTGACTCTCTCGTCAAAGTAATTACGCCTCGATCTTGTTGCTAGAAAAGTTTCCTCATATTTTCTGACATTATTTCTGGATTTCATCGAGACACAGACAGTTTTCATTTTTCCATTTTTTTTCTTTACAAGAAAGTGCCTTCGCGTTGCCTCGCCATTTCAGGGGGTAGCACCATCTCCAGCTGAAAATCTGTAGAACTAAGCCCCCCAAAAATTGTTCCTTACCTCTTTCTCCGAAAATGTTTCTCAGCTGGCGATTCGTGTTGGGATACTAGTGGAGCTCTTGCAAATAACGCCAACGGAAGGGTTGTCAGATCTTATTAACAGGTGGGAGGGAAATATAATCCTAATAAAATACCTGCTCAATGGGGAATTACGCAGGACAATAATTGCTACTCAAAATTAATCACCTTTTGAAATTTTCAAACAGAGAAAAAACCTCACCTTAACATTTCTGCAGCCTTTTATGGCTCTGGAAAAAGTTCTGAGTGATTCGTATGACACCTTCCTATAAGGAAACAGGTCATAGATGTATGACTCTGGAAATTACTCCTATTTAGTATGTTAAATGGTACTTGCCTCGCGCAAAATTATAATATATACATTTGGAAAAGGTTCTGAATGATTCGTATGATACCTTTCATGTAGGTCATAGATGTATGACTCTGGAAATTTTTGCTGCGTACTTAACTATGTTTAAAAGTATAAACCTCGCGCTTTCGGGGTCACGCAGCTCATACGAAATTTTAATGTTTATATGAAAAAAGTTCTTAGTGATTCGTATGATGTATGTATGTATGTATGTATGAAGAAACCGGTTATGGATAACTTTGGAAATACTCATCTATACAAAACTTAAATTTGATACATTCTCTAATCACAAACCACACATGCATCAAGATTGGTGGAAAATTAATTAATATTTTGCACTTCTGGTATGTTTGTTTTCATTTGTTTTGTTTTGCCGTGTTACTGACGTCCTCAGTGTGCGTAAGTTATTAGGAAGAAAGCGATGAAGAAATTTGATTCTCATTTAATATTGATGGCAGCATCTAACAAACTCCTCTTGTAAGATTTATCAAAAGGAAATCCTTGGTATAGATTTTCAACGCTAACGACGATAGAACTTTCTTATTCAACGACCAAACTCAGAATTCACCAGACCACGACAGAATTTCTTCTTACAATATCACTACAATATCGAGCAGACAAATAATGAGATTAAAGNTGGGTTAGTCTGGGTTTGGCCAAAAGATGGGAGCCGTTTGAATTCCCATTTTACTCCAGAATGTGTAGAATTAGATAATTTTCTTTGCGAGTCTTGCAATTTGAGTTGTACGGTAAATAAGCTAAAATGGATTAATCTGAGAGTCTTTTAAGTTTTACGTAAGGTGTTACGTTGGTTCGTTTCTCAGAGTATGTTTTAAGTTGGGAAACTTACTTTTCGGGTTTATAAAGTATGTTTTAAGTTGGCAAACTAACTTTGCGGATTTATGAATCAATATTAGATTCGAATCATTACATTATTGCTTAAGAATTTGATGATAAGTCATTTTCCATCTCAGTTTTCAAAAAAACTATCAAATTGTTTCTATAAATAACGTCAAATCCTTTCTGGAAAATTCTAAATCGATATGGTATTTTTTACATGTTGTTTTAGTTAGGTGACCCACATATTTAAGAAACCTTAATCGCAAATTCCTTCATCGTGTCGAAGAAAAATTGCTCTGAAACCGAAAAGTTGTACACAAGAAAAAATAGCATCTTTGTTCGGTAAACAATAAAAAAAATTGGATTATTGGAATATATGTAGCTGTGCATCATTATCACATTTTCATCCAGTTCCTAAATGTTGTCCAAAACCGAATTCATCTTGTGATTCCTTATGCTGGGCAACTGACAACTGATGGTGATAGTGTATTAAATCGCATTCTAAGTATTTCTTTTGAATATAATAAAGAAAGATTTACTTGCCTTTAATATTCTCAATTTGCCCGCTTTGTGTTTCTTGAACCTCATGTCTAGATGATTCAAATATATATATGTATGTATCTATCTATCAGGGAATAACTTTTGGACCTCGCTGCATCAAGACTTGGCAGGTCAGATGACCATCAAGGTGATGAATATAATGCCAGCGTTCCTCGGGTTTATTTTCCCTTAGAAAATGATAGCAGACAAAACAACTGATAATAACCGCAAAGCCTCAATTAAAGTAATTAGTCTTCATGCATTGGAAAAGCTTTTTGCCAGTGGGTGTCTGGTTGCATTGTAAAGACAATGTACAGAAACTTTGACAACACGTCTGTTAGGTTAAAAAAACGATAACACTTTACAATTTCACTTTACAACTTCCCTTACAATTTACATTTAACAATGATTTCACATCTGTACTTTTCGTTTGCCTACTTGTTTTCGCTAAACTNTAGATTTTGGAGAATTCATTGCTTCTATGAATTATTTCCTATATTGTGGCTATATCCTCTTCAGCGACACTAAACGACCAATAAGCGCGCTCCAAATACACCAGTCATTTTATACTAAATTTAAGCAGGTTTATTAGTTGGGGATGAATTTTTCATTCTTAAACTTTCAAAACAGAAAGATACTAAGGGAGTTTTAATTTTCAAAAAAGCGTAATTACGTTTACTCAAATTGATAGATAGAAGACCGTTTTAACTTCATTTAAAAGTAACGGTAGGCGGCTTATAGAAGTAAAATAATCAGTGATATTTAAGAGAGAACACGAAACGTTTTTAATTAGTTTTCGAGCATTGGGAGAACTTAGACATGCTTTAACTGATTACTATAACTAATGTTGGAAAATACAAAATGGTTGCGAAAAAAGACACGAAAATGACGGTGGCAATCGTGAGAGTACATAGAAGTCAAACATGTTTCAGCTACAAAATGTCAGTTCCAAAGCGCAGGAAAACATGTTTGTGATGACTGGTTCACTGTGACTTAGACATATCTCTGTGCTGAAATTTCTTTTTGTTTGTTTGTTTTCGTACTTAATCTTTTATTTTCCAGAAGTGACTAACACATAACTTCTTCTTACGATATCAATTCGCTATCGGAAATCCAGCTTAAAAGCGATAAGAATAATAAAGAATAATCAACTAGAGGTCATCTTTATGATAAAACTCCAAACTCTCCAAAATCAGTCTAAAAGGAAATATATGGCATCTGGAGGGGAGAATTACTAATGAGGCGCTTAAATCAATTTCAGGTATTTTTCAAACAGCTGCAGTTGTCAGAACTCGCTATCACTCGTGTCCACTCCCTGCGATTTAAATTTCGCGACCCGCTGTCGGAACAAGGTAGGGACCATGGGGACGAGGACGTGGAAAAGTTCCTTTCGGCTTTGACAGAAAAAAATGAAGTAGCGGTAATTGGCCCAGGAAGAGGCCCCGCTGGGAAGTTATTCACAGATTGTTCGCCAAACAAGAGGTTTGTGTCGCGGCAGATCAGCTAGACTAAAGCAACATGTCTATAATTTAAACTTGAAGGTTTAATCTGATTATTGATAATGGTTGCAGATGAAAGTAACTGCTTTTTTGTCTTTCAAAGAGCACCGGATTACAATTCGCTGTGAACGAATAGATCTCCTCAAATGTCTCGGTAAGCTCATGCAATAAAGCCAAAATAGTACATCTGTTCGATGTAATCACGTTTTAGGGAACCAACATGAACCACGAGAATTAATTTTTTCAACCACAACCTAATCAGAATGATTTCCCACTTAAAACGCGGGCCGCAAACTTTTA